ACACGGAAATCCCAGAGACAAGAACATTGGAAAGGAATGAACACTCTCTCCTTGGAGGGACACCTCCTGCTTACTTAATTCAGGTAAGTATTAGGCGAGGGTTGGCAAGAGCCAAGGCTTGGGGATCCCGGTGTGCGTGTTGGGGTAACGGCTGGAGTCTAACCGGCTAAAACTACACAGCTTGCCATTGATATCACTGTCTGGCAAGCTTTCCCGTTGCTAGGACCACCCGACCCGATAGGGTTTTGGCTGTAGGGTTAACAGGAGCTGAGTGGGATGACTCCTTGCCCCCAATGACGGGTCTGCTCTTCCAGGTCCTGGTGATGAGCCGGGCCGGACTGTGCTGCCATCAGCAGTGACCTGGAATACTGCGACCCTCCTGGCTCAGGAACCGGACTAGAGACCATCACGGAGGGTGGGCTTGATTCTGACATTCCTTTGCCAAACACTTGGAGCCAGTTCAGCTCTGAGGAGACTCTGCTTACCTGGTCTCCCTCCCCACCCCCGAGGAAGGCAGTGGCTGTGAGGTTGACACTTACCTGTGTACTGAGGTTTACACACACACTGATAGGCATTGCGCAGCTGTTGACATGTGTCAGTGCCTGGGTGGTGACAGGGGTTAGACAGACACTCGTCCACATCCCCCTCACAACGTGAGCCCACAAAGCCCGCCTGGCAACGGCACGAATAGCCCCCCAACCCGTCCACGCACTGACCACTGTTGTAGCATTTGGGCTCCGAGCTGGGGTGGGGGCGGGTTTGGGAGTGTGGGGGTCTCGAGGGTGGGGGTGTAGGGAGGCAATCATCGGGATCCTGCTCACAGCGTTGCCCTGGGGACAGAGGAGCATCCGAGTCAGTCCACGCGCAGCCCCCACCCCAGCCCCCACGGAAACATACCCCAACCCCAACACCAACCCCACCCCAAACCCCCAGCCCAGCCTAGCCCCACCCCAACCCACACCCACCCAAACCCCCAGCCCAGCCTGGCCCCACCCCAACTCACACCCACCCAAACCCCCAGCCCAGTCTAGCCCCACCCCAACCCCACCCTAAACCCCCAGCCCAGCCTAGCCTAGCCTAGCCCCACCCCAACCCAACCCACACCCACCCAAACCCCAGCCTAGCCTAGCCCCACCCCAACCCACACCCACCAAAACCCCAGCCTAGCCTGGCCCCACCCCAACCCCACCCTAACCCCCAGCCCAGCCTAGCCCCACCCCAAACCCCAGCCTAGCCTAGCCCCACCCCAACCCACCCCACACCCACCCAAACCCCCAGCCTAGCCTGGCCCCACCAACTCACCCCACACCCACCCCAACCACAGCCCCAACACCTAACCCCACCCCAAACCCCCAGCCCAGCCCCACCCCAACCCACCTCAGTCCCACCACAAACCCAACCAACCCAACCCCAGCCCTAGCCCGAACCCCAACTCCAACCCTGTCCCTAACCCCAACTATTAACTGCATCCCAACCAACACCCCCACTCCCCCCTCTTCGGCCCACGCCCCTCTGCCCCCTCACCCTGGGAGCCGCGCAGACACACACACTGAAATCCATTGACCATGTTGACACAGGAGCCACCGTTCAGGCAGGGCTGAGACTCACACTCGTCCTCCTCCACAGAGCAGTTCCTGCCACGGTAACCAGGGGCACACTGCGGGCACACAGTCCACAGTCACTGCACACAGCACAGTCACTAAATGTACACACTGCCAGCAACACACAGAGCATGGTCACTCCACATACAGTCATGACAAATAAACACTGTGGGCTCACAGCACACAGTCACTCCACTACACAATGCGAGCAACATACACAGTCACTACACCATACACGCAGTAACTACACATACACACAGTCACTACACTGCACAATGCGAGCAACACACACAGTCACTACACCACACACACAGTAACTACACATACACACAGTCACTATACAAGAAAATGAGATTGAGAGAGGACAGAGAAAAAGAGAGAGAGAGAGAAAGGGATAGAGACATTGTGGTGTGGGGGAGAGGGGATACGGGAAGGAGAGAAGTTGGAGGAAGGAGAGAGGAGATGAGGGGAGGGTGAAGAGCTGGGGGTAGGGCGAGAAGGGGGAGGAGATGGGGGTATGGAGTAGGAGATGGGGATATGGGGGAAGGGAGGAGATGGGGAGGAGGAGATGGGGGTACAGGGGGAGGTGAGGAGATGAGAGTACAGGGGGAGGTGAGGAGATGAGGGTACAGGGGGAGGTGAGGAGATGAGAGTACAGGGGGAGGTGAGGAGATGAGGGTACAGGGGGAGGTGAGGAGATGGGCGTACAGGAGGAGGTGAGGAGATGAGGGTACAGGAGGAGGTGAGGAGATGGGGGTACAGGGGGAGGTGAGGAGATGGGGGTACAAAGGGGGAGGTGAGGAGATGATGGTACAGGGGTGGTGAGGAGATGAGGGTACAGGGGGAGGTGAGGAGATGGGGGTACAGAGGGGGAGGTGAGGAGATGGGGGTACAGGGAGAGGTGAGGAGATGGGGGTACAGGGGGAGGTGAGGAGATGATGGTACAGGGGGAGGTGAGGAGATGGGGGTACAGGGGGAGGTGAGGAGATGGGGGTACAGGGGGAGGTGAGGCGATGGGGGTACAGGGGGAGGTGAGGAGATGAGGGTATGGGGGGAGGAAGTGGGGGCGTGGTGGGAGGAGATGGAGGGAGGAGAGGGGATGAGATGGGGATCTGACCATGGAGCAGGTACCTGGCAGGAGTAGGTGGTGATCAGGTCCACGCAGGTGGCTGTGCTATGGCAGGGATGGGGCTGACACCGGTTGAGCATCTCCTCGCAAGTTGTCCCCTTGAAGCCATCCGCACACTGGCAGACGTGAGAGCCCCCCACATCCTCGCACCTCCCGCCGTTCAGGCACAGCCCCTCCACCGGCACACCTGCAGGGGGACCTTCCCGTCAAAGCCTCCACCCGCTCACAGTGTAGTGACTGTGTAATTTTGCAGGGCAGCCAGTTTGATCATAATAATCCTTGCATTCGATACAGCGCCTGATCACGTCTTCGAGGCAACTCGAAGCGTGTCACTCTATAGAATACAGAGTATATAGAATATACTCTATAGTGAGTTGACCGCGTACTTTGTGGGTGAAATGCGGCAGCCAATTGCGCACCAGCAGCGTCTGTCCCACAAACAGTCGTAGACTGAAGTGATCAATTTTGTCTGGGGTTTGTCGGCCAGGACACCGGGAATGAGAGAGAGAGTGTGAGAGAGAGAGAAACTCCCTTCTCTTTTCAAGTAGCGGATCAGGATTGTGTGTGTTACTGTGTGAGGTACGAGTGTGTGTGTGCTACAACGTGTGTGAGTATGTGTGTGAGTGTGTACAAGTGTGTGTGTTACGGTGTGTGAGTGTGTACGAGCACGTGTGTTGCATTGTGTGTGTGTGTTCCTGTGTGTGTGTTCCTGTTTGTGCGCGTGTGTGTGAGTTACTGAGTGAGTGTGTGTCTGAGAGTGTGTGTATTACTGTGTGTGTGTGTTCCTGTGTGTGTGTGTGTGAGTTACTGAGTGAGTGTGTGTCTGAGAGTGTGTGTGTTCCTGTGTGTGTGTATGTGTGTGTTACTGAGTGAGTGTGTGTCTGAGAGTATGTGTGTTACTGTGTGTGTATGTGTGTGTGTGTTACTGTGTGTGTGAGTTTATGTGTAACACTACTGTGTGTGTGCTACAGTGTGAGTGTGTGAGTGTGTGATGTCTCGGGCAGACCAGGTTGGATAACTTTCTCTGTGGGAGTTGGAAAAACAGAGCTCCCTAGTGCTCCCCTACGTTAGCCAGGCCTGTTCCCCCCACGGCCACATCCCCCTGCCGTGTCCCCCACTGACCCACTCACCTCGTTCCAGCGCTACCCTTTCACATAGGCTCCTGGGCACCTCACAGTAGCTGCCCGTCCAGGCAACAGGGCACCGACACAGGAAGGAGCTGGCAATGGGCTCGCACACTCCACCATTCTTACATACAGCCACAGAGCAAGCGTCAGTCTCAGTCTGCAACAAGAGGAAACCCATCACCGTGACCAGCCGGGTGTCTGACACACACGAATACCCATCACTGTGATCAGCCGGGTGTCTGACACACACGAATACCCATCACCGTGATCAGCCGGGTGTCTGACACACACGAATACCCATCACCGTGATCAGCCGGGTGTCTGACACACACGAATACCCGTCACCGTGACCAGCCGGGTGTCTGACACACATGGAAACCCATCACCGTGACCAGCCGGGTGTCTGACACACACGGATACCCATCACCGTGACCAGCCGGGTGTCTGACACACACGAATACCCATCACCGCGATCAGTCGGGTGTCTGACACACACGAATACCCATCACCGTGACCAGCCGGGTGTCTGACACACACGGAAACCCATCACCGTGACCAGCCGGGTGTCTGACACACACGAATACCCATCACCGTGACCAGCCGGGTGTCTGACACACGGAAGCTCGTCATTGGGTTTCTCTCTGTGTGAGAGAGTGTGAGAGAGAGAAAAACTCCCATCTCATTTCCGATAGCGTCGCAGGAGATCTTTCACCTGTACCTGAACAGGGCACAGGTGGGGAGTGAGGTTCAACGTCTCATCCAAATGACAGCACCTGATAATACCGGAGCCCTCCCCCAGAGCTGCATTAGAGCGACACCTGAGACTGTGAGAACTCCAAGTCCTGACGTGGGGCTGGAACCGACAACCTCCTGACTCAGAGGCGAGAGAGCAAGAGAGAGAGAGAGAGAGGGCTGAGCCAGTTTAGCTCGGCCTGAGCCAGGCTGACACCTACGGACTGCTCCACTCAGTCCGTGTATAAAATCCTTGCCTTTGATACATTAGCGTCTCATCACTCATCGAGTCCTGTAGCTCAGTGGTTAGAGCACTCGCTTTGCAAGTGAGAGACCTGAGTTCAATTCCAGGCAGAGGGCGAAACCTTGGACAAGTTTCCTTACTCCACACAGAGCCTAATAATAATCCCTCCAAAACCAAAAACAATAATAAATTGGTCATTTTCAATCCACGACTGTCTGTGGGACATTGCTGTGCGCAATTGGCTGCCGCGTTCGCCCACAAATATAGTCAATTCACTTTACAGTGTTTCTGTGAAGCGCTTTGGGACGTCCTCTCCCGACGTGAAAAGCGCTATATCAAACGCAAGGATTATTATTATTATTATTACCACATCTTCGAGACGTCACAAAGCGCTTCACAGAATGTACTGTGAAGTCCATCGACTGTGTTACGGTTCGTGGGTGAAACCCGTCAGCCTATTTGCACACAGCGGCGTCCGTCTCGCAAACAGCCGGGGATTGTAATGATCCAAATCATTATTACTTTTTGGGAGGGATTCTTACCCCCGGAAAAGCCATCCGCCGATCGACTGACAACCGGATTCCTTCTTACTGTGGAGTAAGGAACTTGCCCAATGTTTTTCCCTGACGGGAATCGAACCCAGGTCTCCGGCTTGCGAGGCGAGCGCTCCAACCACTGAGCTACAGGACTCTACAGGGTCCACATATGTTGTACATATGTTGTATGTCCGACTTGTTTACCTGGCAGTTGTTCCCTGTGTAGCTCTGGGGACAGACACACGTGTAGGGCCCAGGACTGGGTTGGCAGGTTCCTCCGTTCAGACATGGCCCGGCTTCGCACTCGCTGACCGCGGCCTCACACTGGTCACCCGTGAAGCCCGCGGTGCACACGCAACAGGAGGGAGCCGCTCCCAGCACACGCGTGCCGCCGTTCATACAGGAGCTGGGGGATATAGGGAAACATAGTCAGTGTAACACGCCAGACACACTCACACCAACATACTCACACAGACTCACACCAACATACACTCACACCCACACACTCACAACATACACACACTCACACCCACACACTCACACCCACATACACACACTCACACCCACACACTCACACCCACACACTCATCACATCAACATACACACACTCACACCCACACACTCACACCAACATACACACACTCACACCAACATACACACACTCACACCAACATACACACACTCACACCCACACACGCATCACATCAACATACACACACTCACACCCACACACTCACACCAACATACACACATTCACACCCACACACTCACACCAACATACACACACTCACACCTACTCACTCACACCAACATACACACACTCACACCAACATACACACACCCACACACTTACACCAACATACACACACTCACACCCACACACTCACACCCACATACACACACTCACACCCACACACTCACACCAACATACACACACTCACACCTACTCACTCACACCAACATACACACACTCACACCCACACACTCACACCAACATACACCCACTCACACCCACACATTCACACCAACATACACACACTCACACCCACACACTCACACCAACATACACACACTCACACCAACATTCATACCAACATACACACACTCACACCCACACACTCACACTAACATACACACACCAACACATTCATCACACCAACATACACACACTCACACCAACATACACACACTCACACCTACACACTCACACCGACATACACACACTCACGCCAACATTCACACCAACATACACACACTCACACCCACACACTCATCACACCAACATACACACACTCACACCAACATACACACACTCACACCTACACACTCACACCAACATACACACACTCACGCCAACATTCACACCAACATACACACACTCACACCCACACACTCATCACACCAACATACACACACTCACACCAACACATTCATCACACCAACATATACACACTCACCTCACTAACTCACACTAACATACACACACTCACACCAACATACACACACTCACACCCACACAC